TTCCATCAATTATCAAAACATGTCAAAATATCTAATATAATCGAATCTGTTCTGAAAGTCGAGTCTTTTTCATCCTTCCACTGAGTTTCACTTAAATCTGTTCTGTAGTTTTTGTGTAATCCATCTGATAAACAAACAAACAAACAAACAAATTGAATTGTGTTTTTCTCTTCCAGCTCCTAAACACAACACCTTCCCCCTCCAAAGTAAGAGTCTGCCCCCCTGCCCTGGACTTCCTGCTCCACCCTCACGCCACGGAGAAAGGTAGGAAAAGAAAATCATGATTCTTTCATTTCATCAGGACGGGGACACCAACAGGAAACTGAACAAGTTTTTAATAAAACTCAGAGACACGTCTGATCTTCAGTGTTCACATGTTCATATGTTCATATGTTCATATGTTCATATGTTCACTTCCAGTCTGCCCCCTAGTGTTCACTCAGCTGGTTCTCTGCCTCACAAACTGCACCCAGGTACGAAATCACACACACACACGTGCACACACAATCATTCATACTGATCCCAAATGTACGTCTGTGCCTGTTTGTGTGTGTGTGTGTGTTTGTGTGTGTGTGTGTGTGTGCAGCAAAGGCTGAACACAGAGGCAGCTTCGTTGGATCGTTTGGTGCTCCAGCAACACACAAACAGGTAACTAAATATACATTAACACACACACACACACACACACACACACACGCAGGTTACCTCACATACATTAACACACACAGATGTTCCTTATGAGTAATTTCCCCGTCAATGGAATGTACTTTTTAATTTATACACGATGAAATATCAATAATTACTGTGTATTTACAGTGTGTGTGTTAATGTAGGTATAGTTAGTGTGTGTGTGTGTGTGTGTGTGTGTGTGTGTGTGTGTGAGACTGGTGTCCACTGAATTAAATCAGTGTGATAAATTAATAGAATGTTTTTCTTAAAATGAGAAGTAAAAGATTTTATTTATTCTGTATCAATGAATTATTCTTATTACAGTGTTATTATTAAACTGAGTATGAATCAGTGTTTGTATTTCTGATGTCTTAACAGCAGGTGGTGCTGTTGTATTTGTGTCTCAGCACAGTTATCTCAGTCGTGTGTGTGTGTGTGTGTGTGTGTGTGTGTGTGTGCGTGTGTGTGTGTTACAGGGGCTGGACCCTCGTTGGTATGTGGGTAAAGTGACCAGAGGTCAGGCAGAGGGAAGTCTGAAACGAGTCCACAAGGTAACAAACAAAATAAACATAGATTGATTTCTTTAAACATAAACATTAAATGAAATGTGAAAATGATAGAAGAGGATTATTTGTATCGTCACATTGATGGTTAAAGTATTTGTAGTGACTGGACTCATGTAAAAATACCATCATATAATAGTTTAGTACTTGTAAACAGTTATATGCTCTGTGTCTCTGGAGGACGGAGCGTACCTGGTGAGGGACAGCACCCGGCAGCTGGACAACCAGCCATTCACCCTGATGGTCTTCTACCAGGACAAAGTCTACAACATCCAGATTCGACAGCACAACCAGAACTTCCAGCTGGGGACCGGACTCAAAATGCAAGAGGTGAACATGACGACACACGTTCTACTGAGAACTCACAGAACTGAGGTTATGTTCATGGGCAGAAGTTTGAGATTCATCTGAGAAACAAGACAAAGCAGAAACGTTATCTGTCAGGAGACTACACTGCTCAGAAACATGAAGGGAGCTGCTCAGGTCTCACCAGTGGACGTCACGTCTCCTCATGGAGACAGTTTGCTCAGAAACCCACCAGTAACCTGCTGGAGATCATTTTGTAGAGCAGTGCTCCTCCTGCTCCTCCTCACACAAAGGAGCAGATACCTGTAGAACGACATCTTCTTGATGTCACTGAAGTTAAACTGACTTCCTGTTATTCTGTGACGATCAAGTGTTCCCTTCATTTGAGTAGTGTACATCTGCTCTGATGTTAGCTGCTACTGTTAGCATTCGCAGCTGACTGATAACTGTCGTGTTAGTTTCAAACTGACGAGTACGAAGTTACACTTCTGTCCGTCCTGGGGGAGGATCCCTCACGTGGGACTCTCTCGGAGGTTTCAACATTTTATATTATTATTGTTTGATTCGTGAATCCGGCCCATACAATGAAATTTGATTGATGAAAGTTTGAAGAAATTCCCTGAAGGTGTTCCTGAAAACATAATGCCCCCGACCACTAGGTGTCGCTGGTGTGGAGATATTAAAAAGTTTGACCCACACACAGTGTTTTTATTTCAACATCCATGGTTTAGACACAGGCGATATTTTTGAGCAGCATCTTGTGGACGTTAGACAAACTGCAGCTGAAAAAAGCTTTGATTAAACAGAGAAATAATGTGTGTGTGTGTGTGTGTGTGTGTGTGTCCAGTCTTTTTCATCAGTGAGTGACATCATTGCTCATTACTCTCAGTCTCCCCTGCTCCTCATCAACGCCAAGGACCGAAGCTCCGGTCAACAGAACCAGTGTCTCCTGTCGGACCCGGCCGGGGGCTACATGAAAGGACAGACCTGGTCCTGAGCAGCTCAGACTAAACCAGGACAGAGTCAGGATCAATGTCCACATCAGACGTAACGTTCAGTTGTACTTTTCTGAAGTAGAACAAAGAGTTTTCATTATTTTTGTGACAGTGAGTAAATAACGTCATTCTGACCATTGACAAACCAGAGTAGTTTTATTTTGAAACGTATTTTAAATTATGATTCTACTTTTACTTCAGTTATTCCACTTTGTTTTGTTTAAATATGAACCCACGCAATTTTGTCCATGGTCTCGCTTCCATTTTTTAGTTTGGTTCATGTCCCATCTGCTAACAGGGGGAGGTAAGCTTTACGACCTATGCTGCAGCCAGCCACCAGGGGGCAAACTAGACACTTTGGCTTCCCTTTTCTGAGCTGTCATGTCGTCCATCTTTATTGACAGTCATTGACGTGAATGTGTCCACCGGTTTGTCTTCAATAAACTCAAAACATTGTCCTTAAATCAGAAAAGTCTTTAATCGTATTATTCCACCTTTGTTCATTCAAACAAAAACTAAGTGATGGTTCAGGACCTGATCCAGAACTACAGACTTTATCAGAGAGGAACGTTTTAACTTTAACTTTAAATGTAGAGATGGTGTCTGACTCTAGAACCACAGGAGAACCTGGTTCACATGTTTCTTAAGACACAGTTGATATTTTTACAGGACAATTAAACATTGTGATGAGTTCAAATATTATGGCTGATCATAAAAATGATAAAAATAAAAATCAGATTTCTTTGAACAGAAGAGTTGAAAGGTTGTTGGTGGGGGGTGAATGTGGAGCAGTGAGGCTACAACGTTATTTATGGGAAATTACAGATTCTTACAGTTTCTTTTCCCACGTACCCCCCCAACAAAATAACACACACACGTTTGTGTTTCTATCTTAGTGAGGACACTCATTGACAAGTACACACACACACACACACACACACACACACACACACACACACACACACACAGTATAATCCCAGTCTTCAGTTACTGTTCAGACTGTTGTTTTGTCTGTGATGCCTGTGAAGGCACCACGGGCTGAAGATTACTGCTGCCACTGCCAACTGTCATCACAGACACACACCCACACACCCACACACACACACACACACACACACACACACACACACACACACACACACACACACACACACACACACACAATGAAATCTGTTTGTCTCTGAGGGTTTTCAGAGTAAATATCAAACTTGGGTTAATGACGGACGTCGTCTCGTTCCACTTTAACGACAGATTAAGAAACTGAGGACAAACTAATTCACGTCCACTTGTCATGTGATGTAAACAGCAAGTAGATTGTCTCCTCTGAAGCAGGAACAGTGATGGTGAAAAGTAAGAGCAAGAGTAAGAGTGTCCACAGATTCGTCCTCAGGCGGATCTTACAGGGACATTGTCCAGAGTTTCTATTAAATGACTCAGGAGATTATCTGAAGCAGCTCAAGAAACACTGAAGCTTCGACTTGAGGTCGTTACTGACTGTAGACAAGCTGACTGTGTGTGTGTGTGTGTGTGTGTGGGGGGGGGGGACAATAGGTGGTGGGCGACGCCTCAAACAGCAGCTGATGTTTCTGTGAAGTCAAACATCGTCTGAATCAGAAGCTTTAAAAAACATCAACATCTGATCTGCATGAAGACAAAGAGAAAAGTTGAGGGTTCAGGTTAAGGATTGAAGTTCAGTTGTTTTCAGATCTGAACTAAAGTCTGAACATGTTTAACATCTGGAAACGTCTCAGTGAGCGAGTGGACGTGTCTCTGAGGTTTCTAACACGTGACGGACGTGAAACTGGAAGAACACAAATGTCTCAGGATGAAGAGGAGCCGCACACGTAGAAGACAAAGTTTTCAAGATGATGTTTGTACAATAAATGATTAGAAGTCTGTAGAGGGCGCTGTCTTCAGACGAGAGACATCCGTCACACATTAACTGTGTGTGTGTGTGTGAAATCCTCCGGCTGTGATCTGCCTGAGGGGAGGAATTCAACCTTCTCTTATTCAAATCAACCCCCCACCACACACACACACACACGCATGCATGAATATGTGTGTGTGTGCTGAAACAACACAGTTGGCCAATCAGCTCGTCTGTGGGCGGGGCATCAGAGTATAAGTGTCCTAGGTGAGCAGCAGCAGGACAGGTGCCGAAGGACGACAGCAGCTGTGTGTCTGTGTCTTTTACAAACACACTTGTTGGACGGCGGTTGATGCTGCGTTACAGAGGAGAAGAAGAAGAAGAAGAAGAAGAAGTGTCCATCATGTCGTCCTTCGTCCCGGAGCTGGGTCTGTCTCCTCCCCTTTGTGGACCTTCCCTTCAACAGCAGGAGCCCCCTTCTCTGGGCATCGACCCGTCTGACTTCAGCCTGTACAGCCCCCCCCCTCCTCCAGAGTCACCGTGGCTCCCAGCATGCAACAGCCACAGTGACCCCTACCCCTGCCTCAGCAGCCCGCACACGGGGCCCCTCCCCGGGGCCACGGCCCTTCCAGGACTCTCCCAAGCTTTTGGAAGCTTCCTCCCCCACCTCTACAGCCTCTATCGGCCCATGTCCTCCATCAACCCCTGGCTCTCCCTCTCCTCCCCGGACGATGTTCTGCGCCTAGTTCGCCCGCCCTATTCCTACTCCGCCCTCATTGCCATGGCGATCCAGAGTGCCCCGGAGCAGCGGCTGACGCTCAGCCAGATCTACCAGTACGTCTCCGACAACTTCCCCTTCTACAGCCGCAACAAAGCCGGCTGGCAGAACTCCATCCGCCACAACCTGTCGCTCAACGACTGTTTCCGGAAGATTCCACGAGACGAGAACGAGCCAGGTGAGAAAACACAAATTCACTGATTTAAAATCAATGTCTGACGTTAACGTTGGATCAGAAACATCTGCTGCTTCTCTTCATCCTCCTCCTCCTCTCTGCAGGTAAAGGAAACTATTGGACTTTGGACCCAAACTGTGAGAAAATGTTTGACAACGGAAACTTTCGCCGTAAGAGGAAGAGGAAGATGGAGAATGAGACGTCTGAGAAGAAGAAACCCTCCTCCTCCTCTTCCTCCTCCTCCTCATCCTCAGAGCTGAGCTCTGACCTCCCTTCTCCTTCTGACGTCACCTCTGGCCTCAACAACTTCCTGTGCCACCTCCAGGACTCCCCCCTCCTCACCCCTCCTCACACGCAGGTCCCGGACCTCGCCTCCCTCCCCCCTCCCCCTCCTCAGGGTTACGTTGCTGTGGTTCCTCAGTGGGACAACACCTCCTCTCCTTCCCTCTTCTCCTCTCTCCATCACTCTCCCCCTCCTCCTCCGCTCTTCCAGTCCATCCCCTCACACTTCTCCACCCCCCTTGCTGACCCGATGGACGGCTCCCCGCCGCTCTACGTTAACCTGCAGACATCGGTCTGTCCTGTGCCAGAGTTCCAGGGGCCCCAGCAGCTCCAGGGGCCCCCATGTGAGCATCTGTTCTCTGGAGGCTTCACTGACGCTCTGCCCCTCGACTCTCATGTGTTTACACTGTAAAATGTGTCTGAATGTTTCTATTTATGTTTTCTAATATTTCATCTGTGCAAAAAAAATGTGGTGACTTTTTAAAAAGTGTAAATATGAATGTGTTTGGAATAAAATAAAATTATTTTTGAAA